TAATAATAATAATAATAATAATAATAATAATAATAATAATAATAATATATTGTTGTACGTATATACACAGTATACACATACAATTAAATTCATATAACACCCAAATTCATATAACAGCCATATAACACAACACGCACGCACACATGACAATCCCCAAACACACCTCCACCCGGCAAAATTCCCCACCCCCTAAAAACACACAAACATTCACACAGCAGATCTATCTATCTATCTATCTATCACTGAGCTGTGGTGGCACAGTGGTTAGAATGCAGTGCTGCAGGCTACTTCTGCTGACTGACTGCTGACAGCAGCTTGAACTGACAGCAGTTCAAATCTGACCAGCTCACCAGGCTCCAGGTTGACTCAGCCTTTCGTCCTTCTGGGGTGGGTCAAATGAGGACCCAGATTGTTGGGGGCAAGAGGCTGACTCTGTAAACTGCTGAGAGAGGGCTGTGAAGCTGTCTGTCTCTCTGTCTATTTTCTCTTTCTCTCATTAGAACTAAAGTTAATCTGCTAACTAAACCAAGATACCAAGAACTGTTTTTGCTCAGAACCAGTTTAATTATAACTACGGTATGATTGTAATTATAATCAGGGCCATCGTGGTTAATCAGGGCCACCCTTAAGCTCTTTGCATCCTCATGCCAGGCGCATCGGCTGGGCCAGTCTTGGCTACAACTGACTTAGGTGGGTCTCCTGCTGAAGCCAGCAAGAATTCTGGGAGCTGAAGTCCAAACCCCTTAAAATTGCTACGGTTGAGGGGCTCCTGGCCTCATGGGTAACCCGTAAGAGCTGCTTTAGGGTGTCCAGCACTGATCTAGATTATAGTCCTGAAGGATTACAAACTCCCTTTAGAAATACCCAAAACTAATTTTTAGCAAGAAGGGATTTTTTTTTCTCCAGCGGTGAAAAACGGGTGATTTCCTAGAGCAACGAACCTTCTATTATCGGGACAATCACAGCCCTTTCCCTCATTTGCTTGTCTTTTCCACATCCATGTTTCTTTCTTTTTTTTCTTCCTTTCTTTTTGTTCTCCTGTTTGTGCGCCCGCCCGGGAGCTGCCGTATGGTCTTTGTTCTCCTTCTGTTAAAGAGGAAAGCTCTTCTCGGCTTCCTGGATGCCAGTTTACAATTTTTCCCCGCGACAGGAAGCGCTAATGAGCTGTTTTGCAAACAGCCCCGCTGGAGATGGATGGAGCTGGAGATCCTAAGTTTTTAATGTCGTCTCCCCGTAATTTAGAAAGCAATAATGACCTTAAGGAGAGAGAGAGAGAAAAAAAAAAAAGGGGGGGGGGAGAAGATGAAACGGTTTAATATCCCCGCAATCACTCTGGGGCACCTTTGAGCTTTATTAGTTTATGACAGATGGCATAAAATTACCACTGGGCACCCCATGGTGGTGGTGCATCTCCTTGGTTGGTGCATCAGTCCAACATGGAAGTGGTGTGTGAGAATTTCCTCCGCTTTGGAAAGGAGGCGGAGGGGCTGTTTCCAAGTTTGGAAAAATTTCTCAGAAACTCCTCCTTTTGGTCCCCGCTGAGGTTTAATTCGAACCCCCAGATGGGCAACAAATCACTGTGGCAATAAATAAATAAAATAAAGCTTGTCTATTCCTTGTCCCAACACACCACCACAATTAGAACTGGAATTTCTCTTTGTCAAATCAGGAAACTGCTGAAACATAGAATAACAAGAGTTGGAAGGGACCTTGGAGGTCATCTAGTCCCACCCCCTCCCCGCTCAAATGTTATAACCTTCTTTGCCACGGTTAAGTAAATCATTGCTGTTATTAAGTGAATCACACAATTGTTAAGCAAATCCAACTTTCCCACCGTTGACTTTGTTCGTTGGAAGCTGGCTGTGAAGGTGTCACAAATGGCAGTCCCACAACCTGGATACACTACGACGCTCTGGCCGGTTTGCCAAGGGCCCAGATTTTGATCACGTGACATGGGGAGGTTGCAAGGGTCGTAAGTGCGAGGGTTGGCCATAAGTCACTCTCTTCAGTCCATTTCTAACTTCAGATCGTCACTAAACGAATTATTGTAAACCGGGGACTATGTAACAATCCTCCTTCCTAGGGATGGAGTACCAAGTAGTGAACCTACATACAAGAGTCAGCTGGCTGTCAGGGCTCCAACATGCACCCCTATTCAAATCATAAGTCTCCAGCCGCATCTCTCAGAGTTAAAAAAAATGATTTATTAGGAATGACCATGTCGGCCTTACCTGGGTGCAGCCGACTCTAAGACCCATCATTCATTTCCTCCTTGACCCTGGTCTTCCCTCCACTTCCTGGGTGTATATTCTCCAGTGGGACACATCCATAGCCAAGAGCCATCAATCATGCTCTCCAGTTTTAATCTTGCATGCCAACAGCTTCAGCTGCCTAGCAATTATCTGGAGCATTTAAGGAATGCACTGCTTTCTCTCACTCCCTTTCTGCTGGCCACTAAAAAGACCAAAGGAGTATTTTTTTAGTTGACACCAGGGACTATCTAACAACCCTCCTTCCTAGGAATGGAGTACCAAGTGGTGAGCCTACAACAGTGGAGTTAATTCTTGTCTTTCGGTTGAATCTAGGTTAACTCGGTCCTGGACGGGACCTCCCTCGCAATCCAGGAGCGCCGGCTACACATCGGCGTCCACAACGGCTTGTGCTTCGTGCAGCCCCCGCAGGTGGTGGTGCTAGTCCCTCTGGCATTGCCAGAGGCCGAGAGAGCCCCGGGAAGCAGTGTCAGCATGCGCCGGAAACACGGAAGTCCCCTCAAAGGCAGGTGAGAATCGGGGGAATGGAAAGCGCGACCGTCGTTTGGGTACAAGGAAGCGAGCTCCTTTCCCGTAAGAAAAGGAGACGAAACGCCGTGGTGGAATCATGAGGATGATGTTCCGGCTGTTTTTCTTTTCGAGTCGTCCGGTTTTCTTATTCAGATGCCCCTCCGGCCTAGCTGGGAGGGCAGCTGTGGGCATAGTAGAGCCTGATCTCAGAAAAAAGCTTGGCCAAGCAGCAATCCAGTGAAAGGGCTGTGGCAGCCCCAAGGGTTCCTCAGCCTTGGCTGCTTGGAGGTGGGTGGTCTTCAGCTCCCAGAATTCCCCAGCCAGCCCTGCCCATTCCCCCCCCCCCCCCCCCCCCCCCCCCGTTCCCTAGAGCAGAGAGATTGCAGAGAAAAGGATGATAAGGCAGCCAACAATGGGGATACGCATCAAAAGTTATGGCCAGGCAATTCTGGGAGTTGAAGTCCACCCATCTTCACGTCCCCCAAGGCCGAGAAAGCAGATGGTCCAGGTGGATCTTAGCAGAGGGATTACCTGAAGTTCCTGAACTTTATTGGTGATCCCTCACCCTTTTTTTTTGGTTCTTCCAACCCAGTGCCGAGGGACAAGCTCTCATCCTGCGAAGCCGCATCCACCTGGCCGAGATGGTGCCTCACCCTGCTTTTGGAGTGGTCTTCCTGTTGGAATATGTCTTCTCCGTTGTAAGTGGACCTGATGGGAAGGTAAGAGGTGACCTTTGGTGGTTCTCCTCCTCCTCCTCCTCGGTTCTTTGTGAATGTACAAATATTTTTCTGAAGCTGGTCTCTTCCGGTGGTCTTAAACTTTCATAATTCCTTGGTTGCTCAGGAATTATGGGGCCTTCTTACCTAGAGGGCGCGGGGACACCAGGTTTAAGGCATCTCAAGGACAATTAAATGGATATCAGTTTGAAGGCATCTCACAAGCATTTGTTGAGATACGGTGGACATCAACTTGAAGGTGTCTCAAGGACGTCTTTGGAAAGACGGTGGACACCAGCCGGAGGGCATCTCCAGGACGCCTGTTGAGACACGACAACTGGAGAAGGCAACACTGCACGGTGAACGAGGAATTACATGATGCCTGTTGGTCCCCTGAACAAGCCCAAATACTTGTGTGACCGCACAGCAGTTCTGGAAGCCTCGTGTTGGTGGCCCCTCCTGAGATGGAGCTGTCAACCATCAACATGGCTTTGAGTTCCGAATCACAAGAGGAAGGACGGGCGTCTGGAGGGGAGTTCAGAGTTTTATTTATTGACGGGGACAGGAGAACCGGCTAGACAGAGCCCAACATCTTCTTCACCAGACGTCTTAAGTGGCCGCTTTTCTCCTCTTCCCTCCCTCCCCCCCCCGCCCCCCCAGCGTGGTCTCCTTAACCGAGGGCCTCATTCTGCCCTTGTCTGCGTTGACCTCTGAAAGCTTGCTCAAAAAAACAAAAGCTTGGTAATAACGAGAACCGTCTCCTGCTGTTTGCTCTTGGGGTGACCGACCCCTGGCTTGCAATTAGCGCTGATAAATGAAGGGGGGGGGAGGACTTTGAAGCCCACCCCACAGAAGAATTTGAAGACGGATATGGCCTCAAGGGGGAACGAAAGAACAACAGCCCAGATTGTCCTTGAAGCCAGATCCCGCGAGGATCTTCAAAGCCGCCTTCACCTCTGCGTGGAGACTTTTTAATTGGGTCTTGAAACCTTCTTCTGAATGTAAAGCCCACTGAATTGGATCATGGACCCTTTTTTGATAAGGAAGGAAGGGAGGGAGGGAGGGAGGGAGAAAAGGAAGGACACTGGGAGGAAAGGAAAGAAGGAAGGGAAGGAAAGGAGGAAGGGAAAGGAAGGAGGAAGAGGGAAGGGAAGGGAAAGGAAGGAAAGGAAAAGAAAAAGGGGAAAAAAGGCTGGAGAAGGAGGGAGGGTGGGAAGGAAGGGAAGAAAAGAGGAGGAGGAGTGGTGGAGAAGGAGAAGGAAGGGAGCACCATTCTCAAGTGGTTAAGCCGTCTCGTGCCCAGCCAGGAAGGCCCGCACTTCTAATCAGGGTTAATCCTGGCTTAATGAGTCAAGCACCATCGCCCGGGCAAACCCGCCGTGCCAGAAGCCCAGGAAGCTCCGGCCGGCTAATTCCTTTAATTAAAAGGAGAGCAGAGAAGTCTCTGGGGGGGCCTCCAAGCAAGCAAGGAGGAAGGGCAAAAGAAGAACCCCCCCTCCTCCTTGAGCCGTCTGACACCCTCCAGCCTTGAGCCCGGAGCAAATATTGGTCAATTGGCTCCTGGAGGGGGGGGGGTGAGTGAGGCTGGCAAGGAAAAGGACAAAGGGAAACCAGAGAGGATACTTTTCAGCCTCCTTCAGAAGGAGGAGAAGGAGAATATTATTATTATTATTATTATTATTATTATTATTATTATTACCATTATTATTATTACCATTATCATCATCATCATCATCATCATTAAAAAGAGTAACGTTTCACCTTTTCCTAACAACCAGTTATGGAACAGGATGGTTTAGATGGGGGGACTTCAACTCCCAGAATCCCCCAGCCAGCCTCCTTCCTTCCTTCCTTCCCTTCCTTTCCCTCTTCCTCCATTCATTTCCTTTCCCTTGCTTCTCTTCCCCTCCTCCTTCCTTTTCTTTCCCTTCCTTTCCTCTTCTCTTTTTCTCCCTTTAGTTTTTCTTCCTGTCTCCCTCCCTTCCCTTTCATCTTCCTTCTTTTCTCCCTTCTGTTTCTTTTTTCAATCTTTCCTTCTTTTGTCCCCTCTCTCTTTCCTTCCTTCCTTCCTTCCTTCCTTCCTTCCTTCCTTCCTTCCTTCCTTCCTTTTTTTCCTGGTTTAACACGATTCCCTCCCCCCACAGACGCCCTCCATGACCTCTCTGACGGCCGCAGCCTACATGCACTCGGTCCGCTGGGCCCTTTGGCAGCCTGTCCTGGATGCGGATCCCACGGAGGTGGTCCTTCCTTTGCGAGGCGGCCCTCAGCGGAATCCCCACCACGTCCTGGTGTACAAGACCCCTCCGGCCACCATGAGCTCCGAAGAGGTGAGCAGCCCCTCCCCGCTTGGCTCACAATCCCAGACCTTGGTGGTGGTGGGGACGATGGGTCCGGGGCGGGGGGGGCGGAGCACGCCGGGAAGATAGGCAGTGACGTTGCATTGATGGGCAAGGTAAAAAAAAAAAAAAGGTTCGTTTTAGAGGAGCTGGCTGGGGGATTCTGGGAGTTGGAGTCCTCCCGTCTTTGTTCTGACCCAAACCTTGTTCCAAGTAAACTAAACACCAAACAGAGATAAAAGCAAAACCTTTTAATGCCTCTCTGCAAATTCCGTGAATTCACAGTTAAAAGGCTGTTTCAAACTCATTGTCTCTGATAAGAAGGAGCCTTGCCAAGGTTATGCAAGGCTGCCAAGAACACTAGATAAAGTTACCCAGAAATATTTCAAACTCAAAGAGTCTCCAAACACCAACCGAGATACTCCGAACGTCCACAAGGCTTGAAGTGCAAGAACTACCTTGCTTCCTGCAAAGAAGCCAACCCTGAAGGCTGACTTTTATCCCTTAAGGGAGGGGCCATTACCTTGCAGCCTTGCTCCCGAGTCGCCCGTGCTGCTGCAGATGCTCTTTCCTTCGAGCAGCCCTACGCGCACTGGGCACCGGCTCCTCGGGGGCCTGTTCCTCACTGCTGCCAGCCTCCACCATCTCTGATGGTCCTGACCCCATCCCTGCATCCCACACTGGCCCCTCACCTGAAACCTCAGCCACCCACACCTGCTGCCGACGAACCACAACCATCTTAAAGTGCTCTGGATTGAGAACTATCCCATCCCAGAAGTCCATCACTATTGGGGAAGAACTGGAATGGGTTTTTTTTGGGGGGGGGAGACGGGCCCCTCACCTGGTACAGGTACACAGGGCCAGGTGAGGAAGATAACCTGATTTTTTTTTTTGTTAAATTAAAATTGCAGGTGAAGCAGGTCGAATCAGGCATGCTGGCCTTTCACTTCTCCACCAGCTCCGAGGAACGACTGGGAAGAGGGGCCAAAACTCCGGGCGTTAAGAGAGAAACGTCGCTGCCCCCCAAGATGAAGAGCCCCCCCGTGGCATCTCCCGGTGAGCGAGGGAAACCCTCAGACCCCTTTCCAGGGCCCAAGTGGCACTTAGTCGGGTCAGAAACAGGCAGCCTTCGACTTACGGCCGTTCGGAGTTATGACGGACCTCCCCCGGTGTGTGTGGGGGTGCTTATGACCCAGTTAGTTCCCCTCCCGTCAGTCACGTGACTGAATGTCAGCCACATATGTCTCACTCAGCATAAACATCTTGGGTTCATCGTAAAGCGAGGACTTCCTGGCCTCTCAGTTGAAGGAGCGAAACGCTTCCAAAGGGCAAAAAGAGAGAGAGAGAAAATCAGGATTATATATATATATTTTTTCCCAGCCACCAGAGCGCAGTCCGTTCTCGCTTTTTCCTCTCCTTTCCTGGTCTGGAAAATATTTTGTGGGGTTGTTTGAACAGATGCTAAAATCTAGAATGTAGAATAATAGAATCGGGAGGGGCCTCAAGAGGTCTTCTAGTCCAACCCCCTGCCCAAGCAGGAGGCCCTTGACCCTTTCAATCAATCAATCAGTCAATCAGTCAATCAGAAAATAATATAAGACTATTTAGGATCCCCCAAGAGAAGAATTAATCTCATCTCCTGCTTGAGCAGGGTTTGGACTAGATGACCTCCAAGTTCCCTCCCAACTCTGTTATTCTGTAATCCCAGATCAATCGATCAGTCCCAATGGCTGCCCTTCAGAAGTTGTGGGAGCTCCGTCACTGGAGGACTCCCAAGGAGAGACTGGACAGCCATTTACTGTGCAAAATGCCATAGAGTCTCCTTGAACAGGGGTGGGGGTTGGACTAGAGGACCTCCCGGGTCCCTTCCAGCCCTTGGACTCTTACCTGTTAGGATTATGGTGACGTTTCTTCCTCTTTGTCCTCACCTAGGTTCCCCACCTTCCGCCCAGAGGTTGGTTTCTACTCAGGATGACACTCAGGGTCCTGGGGTAAGTCGCAAAAGGGGACCTCCTGACCACGGCAACCATCCTAAATATGCGGGAGCCGCCTGTTCTCACCTGTTCCGCCCAATTCTACCCTGGTCTCCGCTTGCTGGTTTCACAAGTGACCTTGCCTTCCAGCTGTCGATGTCGCAACTGTTGGCGTCCCCGAGAAACAAGAGTGACCACACATTGCTGTCGCCGGTCAGCAGTGCTCAGCCGTCCCAGGACAGACTGCAGCCAGCCAGAGAGGTAACTATTTGTCTGAAATGGTTGTCCAATCTCTACCCCCGGCGTGGGTCCGTATTGGAAGTTGACACTAGGATCTCCTGCTTGAGTTGGGGGTTGGACTAGAAGACCTCCTAGGTCCCTTCCAGCCCTGTCATTTCATTTCCTAAGACAGTTCAGTCACCAGGCCTGTTGAGTCTAACCACCTTAACCGAGCCCCATGCTGACCCTCCCATCCGTCTTGGGACATTTCCCTCAATTCTCCTTCTCTCCCTTCCCAGCCGGAGCAGAACCAAGGAGCCATTGCTCACCTGGAGTGCGACCTGAGTTACAACCCTCAACTCGAGGACCAGCTGCAAGAGCTGCCCTTCACACCAGTCCACGTGCCCATCCTGGCCCTGGGAGGGCCCCCTTCGCGGAGGTGAGGCCCCTGAAATCGGACCGGTTTCTCTGCAGGGCTCTTTGGGCCCAAGAAGTCGGGGGAGGGGGGGCTGCAGACCAGTCTGGAAGGGGGAACCTTGGCCACTTTAAGAGGGAAGGAGGGAGGGAGGAAGGAAAGGGGAAAAAGAAAAAATGGAAGAAGGAAGGAAGGAAGGAAGGAAAAGAGACTGAGGAAGGGAAATGGGAGGGGCAGAGGGAAGGAATGAAAAATGAAAGAGAAGGAGGAAAGAAACGAGACTGGGGAAGGATAGAAGGGTGCATAGTGGGAAGGAAGGAAGGAAAAAGAGGGAGGAAGAAGGAAAGGAGAGAGAGATTCTGGAGCCGGTCTCTTCCACAGCCCCAACACCGCCCCCACCAGGGCCTCGCTTGCCCGCCTCCGCACGGCCGGATTCCCTGAGCTGCTGGATTGCAACAAGGAGCCGGTTGAGATGTTGGATCCCAATGATCCCACCCCCGGCAGCCCCCAGCAGGAGGAAGGCGACCCCTTGCCCGACCACGAGATCCACCTGCAGTTCCTGGCCTTGAGCAGGTGGGTCCGAAAAAAAGACCTGTGCCATTGAAATTGCCCCCCTTTTGGGGGGGGTGGGAAATAAACTCATGCAGATGCCCCCAAAAAACGAGGGGGGAGAGGTTGAATTGACAGGGGGGTGCAGTTCTTGGCCCCCACCCACCCAATTTTAATGGCTTCTCCCCACGGAGGTGAAAGACTCTGGTAGATTGTCCCGAAAGACTGTAGTTTATTCCTGGATCCTTTCCATCTCGGGCTGTAGGTATTCCTTGACTTATGACTGTTCACTTAACGACCGATGGTAGCTACAAAAGACCTTCCTATGCCTTGCGACCCTGTTTGGGTCTGACGACTGGCCACGCTTGTGCCTGCAGTTTTTGGGGGTTTAGCAACCAGTTCGCATTTGTGGCCTTTTCCAGCGCCTCAATTGATGACTGACTTTTTTAACTTCTGGTTCCTGATTAAAAAAAACCCCACTCCATCATGAAAAAGGGGCGGGGCTTTGCCTGAAAGAGGGCGGGGTCTGTTCCTTTGGGTTTGTCCAGGGCAGCGTTTCTTAACTTTGTCAACTTCTAAGGTGTCTGGACTTGAACTCCCAGAATTCCCTGGTGAGAACACATTCCTTTTGATATATATCCTTAGCGTCTTACGGCTGCTTATTCTCTTATCATCCCTTTCCCTGCAACGTATTTTATTTATTATTAATCTAATGATCTATTTGTTACTCTCTTACAATCCCTTTCTCTGCAAATCTCTCCATTCTTAAGAAGCGAGAGAAAGAAAGAAAAAAACCCAGGTATGGTTGGCTGGGGAATTCTGAGAATTGAAATCCAGATACTTTAATGCTTGTTTTAATCTGGTCCAGGGTGCACCTCTTAACAGGCCGTCGAGTGCTCGGATTTCGGGCCTCCCCAGCTGAATTTCCCCTCCTCTCCTTCCACCAGGCCTGCCCAGGACGACCCTGCTACGTGGCCCCAAAGCGTCTACTTCACCCTCCAGTTTTACCGCTTCCCGCCGGTCACCACGCCACGGCTGCAGCTGGTCCAGACTCAGGCCTGTGGGCCGGCCACCCACATCTTGGTGCAGATCAACCCAGACGGGACCCTGACCCTGGGTAAGGCTGGGGCACGACAGGCGAGAAGAGGCCGAGAATGGAGGGGACCATCCCCTCACCTTGGCATGTTGTGGAAAGCTTGTCTCACCCTTTTGTGCCATCAGGGATTCTCCAGTTGGCATTCAACTCCCAGAATTCCTCAGCTAGTCCCTTCCTTCCTTCCTTCCTTCCGCCCTCCCTCCCTCCTTCTTTTCCTTCCTTCCCTTTTTCCTTCCTTCCTTCCTTCCTCTAATCTTCCTTCCTTCTTTCCATCCATCCATCCATCCATTTCATCCTCCCTTCCCTTCTTCTCTGTTCTTCCTTCCCTCCCTCTATCCTTCCTTTTCTCTCTCCTTCACCTTCACTTCCCTCCCTCCCTGCTTCTTCCTTTTTCTTCCTCCCTCCTCTCTGTTCTGTCCTCCTTCCCCCCCTCTCTCTCCCTCTTCCCTCTTCCCTATCCCCTTCTTCCTATCCTTCTTCACTTCCTCCCTCCCTGTTTCTTCCTTTTTCTTTCTCCCTCCCTCTCTCCCTTTCTCTCTCTTCTGTCTTCCCTCTCTCCCTTCCTCCCATTGTTCCTTCTGGCCTCTGGAAGGTTAACGGGCCATCTTACCACGGCCCCCGTTGACCCCTTTCCTCCTCCGCAGCCCCCCCTGGCTTCCACCTGAAGTACCTGGTGGACCTGGCCTCCCTGAAGCCCGGTGAGCCACGCTGGTTCCTCCGCTACCTGGCCCAGCAGGCCCTGCAGATCGACGTCTGGGACGGGGACTCGTTGCTCCTTTTGGGATCTGCTGCCGTGAAGCTAAAGGTAGGTGAGGTCATGTCTGGAGAGCAGTCCTCGAGTTACGGCCCCTCCCCAAAAGTCAGGTCCCTTTTCCACAATTGTGTCCGTCGCAGCTCCCGGGGTCAAAATCCACAGGCTTGGCAACTGGCTCATGTTTATGACGGTCGCAGGGCCCCCTTTGCGACCCCCTTGACCAGCCACGTCAGGCCCACTTAGCGACCATGTGGCTCACTTAACAAATGGCAGTGATTCCCTTAAGAGCTCTGGCAAGAGAGGTCGTAAGACGGGGCAAAACTCAACAGGTCTCCCTCCCGTAGCGACGGAAAAGTTGAGTGGGAGGCTGCCTGCGTTTTCGGGGTGCTGGGGGGGGGGCAACGGAGAGAGAGAGAGAGAGAAATGGGCTCCCTTCCCCCCTGTTCAGAGGCGACCCGCCACAGCTGAGCTCTCTCCACAGCACCTCCTGCGCCGAGGCCGGACGGGGGTCCAGGTCTACCACGAGTTGGAGGTCCTGGCCATGGAGTACAAGCCGGACGCGGCCGTGCTGAGCGGGGAGGCCTTCCGGCCCTGGGGGGTGAAGCCCATCGGGGTCCAGGCGGTGGTGAGGGCCCAGCTTCACCTCCGCCTGGCCAACATCGGTGAGTCTCCCTTGCTCAACGTGGAGCAGTTGAAGGGCCCCAAGGAGCTTCCTTCCTTCCCTCCCTCCCTCCTTCCTTCTTTCCTTCCTTCCTTCCCTCCCTCTTTCTTTCCTTCTTCCTTCTCCGATTCTTTCATTCTATCATCCCAGATCAATGAATCCGTGAAAACAGCTTGCCTCCAGAAGTTGAGGGTGGACTAGGAGTCCTCCCAGGCCCCTTCCAACTCCGTTGTTCCGTAACCCCGGATCAATTCACCCGTGGAAGGTCTTTGCCTCCATCCTTGGAGGCCTTCAGGAAGAAGGGACGGTGTGAGGTCTCCCTCCTGAGGAGGGGGTTGGGCTGGAAGACCTCCGGGGTCCCTCCCTTGTTATCCTGCATTTCGTATCATTCCAAAGCTCAAAGAATGGGTCAAGGACGGATGGACACACACACACACACACACACACACACACACACACACACACGCAGAGCATAGAGATGAGCAAGAAGCTCCCCTTAGCTGGACCTTTTAAGATGCCTTCACAGCACCTGGGAATGAAAACATCTTTGGAAAGCAGCAGCTTCTTCGCTTTCCCACCGTAAATCAAAGGCTCTCCGGTGCCAGAGGTGTTTCCTTTGATAGGGCCTCCGCTCTGAAAAGGCTACCAGCCTCTTCTCTTTTTCTCCTTCCCCCTTTCCCCCCCCCCTCTTTTTAATAAAAAGTAGAAAAGGGGGGGAGTTTTTGGCTGGCAGGTGGAGGAGGAGATCAAAAGAGCCATCAGGGTTGTCGGGAAGGGGCTGGATAAAATAAGCCCATTAAGGCATCAAGGCATTTGTTTCCAAAGGGCAGAGAGCCCGCGGAGCCCCACTCCGGGCTCACAAACACAGCAGAACACACAACGACGGTTGCCCTCACAAAGGGGAGAGGGAGCAAGGAAGGAAAAGAAAGGAAGAGGAAGGAAGGAAGGAAATGAAAGGAGGAGAAAAATTGGGGTGAGGGAGGAAGGAAAGGAGGGAAGGGGAAGGCAGGAGAGGGAAGGGAAGGAGGAAAGAAAGGAAAGGAGGAAAAAAAGGGAGGGGGGAATGAAAGAAGGAGGGAAGGAATTTGAGAATTCCATCGATTTTGGCAGCCGGGGGCCCTCGGGCCGCTCTTGCAAGAGGTTTTCATGCACGCAACTCCATGTAAGATTTAATAATTTTATTATTATTTAAAAACCAAGATAAAGACAAAGGCGAAGTGAGAAAAAAGAAGAGCAGAGAAATCAAAAGCGGAAGCTGCAAGTGCAAGAAAGAAGAAAGAGCAAGAAGAAAGAAAGGAACAGAAGCGTTTCCTGATCTCGTTACAAGTGCAATTATAAATTTAGCTCTCCTTCTCTCTGGTTGCAACCCGGCTCTGTTCTCCCCTCTAATCCATTCCCTCTCATCATCAAAACCAGTTTTTGTTCTGTTCTGTTCATGCCAAAGCAAAAGCCCATCCGGGGTTTCCAGCCATCCATCGATGCCGTGATGGTCTCTTCCCTGATCAAGGACCGCCGACTCGGCTATCCCGGCAGCCTCCACCGTCCCCGCCAACCGTCCCTCCACCGTGGGCCGCCTCGAGTCTTCCTCCCCACGCGGGCCCTCGGAGGAGAGGCAGGAATCTGGGTTGCTCCGTCACCTTCATTATTCATGAAGAGGAGACGACTTTGTTTCCTCCTTGTCAAAATGGAAGCTCGCCTGAGGCACCGAGATATAGATATATATTTTTTGTTCCAAGGAGAAGAAGCGAGGTGAGGCCGGGAGAAGAAACCACAAGAGTGTTAGAAAAATAAAATAATAATAAATCTCCATCTCCTTCAAATCTTGATGAACTTGAAAGTCACCTGTTCGACGGCTGTCAAGCCTGGGAGGTTGGAGAGAGGCGGCTGACGTTTTTGGAGCAGGACAGGGAGCATCTCGGGAGGTTTCCATCCCTCACATTCCACCAATGTGTGGCCAAGCTCAGGGTCTGGGGGGTGGAAAAAGGGGGTGTTTTGGCTTCTACCACGGCTGCCTTGTTCCATTGTGCGACGATCGGATGTGAGACGACACGCAAACGTGATGCAGTTGTGATGCCCTTGGATAAGCTTCCTCCGTTGTGTGGTCTTAGAAGCCGGGGTGATGCCTCTGCTCTCTTTGACCTAAGAAGCGTGGAGAAGAGCAACAAGAGGTGGTGAAGGTCATCCCGCAAGCTTCTTCTTAGGGAGAACTTGGGTGTGTCTTTAGCCTGAAGAAGAGAAGGCTAAGGGAAGACCTGACCGTGCCCCCCCCCCTTCCCCGTCCATGAGGGGGCCTCCTGGGGGAGAAGATAACACAGCGCCCAAGGGGAAGACCGGGACCGTTGGGTCGAAGTTCTACCAAGACGCCTCCACATTCGAAATGAGGAGGAAGGACCTCACTGTGAGAGCTAAGAAGCACTGGAACCGCTTTCTGGAGTGAGGGGGATCTCTCACTGGAGGACTTCAAGGATGGACCCCCCTGTGCACGATAGACAGAGGGAAGGATGGATGGATGGGTGGATGGATGGATGGATGGAACAGCTTGCCTTCAGAATTTGTGGGCACTCCCATCACTGGAGGTCTTCAAGACTAGACGGCCATTTGTCCTTAATGGTATAGAGTCTCCTGCTTGAGCATGGGTTGGACTAGAAGACCTCCAAGGCCCCTTCTCTTCCACCACCCCAAATAGGAGAAGTTCAGAAGACCTGAGCCCTGGTCTACACCAGCCCCTTCCTCATCCCTGAACAGGCTACGGGTGGAGCCCAGCTCATGGACACCCCCCCCTACCCACCCTCTTTCTTCCCTCTCTTCTCTTGCAGGCCGCCGGTGTGAACGGGGGCTGCGGAGGTCACACTCCTTACCCCCTTCTTGCAGGCGGATCATCTCCTCGCAGGACGGCGCCAAGGGCTTCCCTGGTGGCAGTTTGGTCTCTATCAGCACTCACGGGGGTAGGTTCCCCTTGATTTTGGGGATGGGGGGGTGGGAGATGGGTGGGGTACTATTAGTGTGAATTTAACCAAGCCGCGGTCATTGCCTGAAACAAACCATCATGGATTGAACCTTACCTGGTTTTGATGCAAGTTGGCTTGACTGCCACCCTTTGGCCCGTCTCTTCCAGGCGGAAACGTGTGCCAAGCCAAAAAACTGGCCGACGTGGACAGCGAGCTGGCCGCTCTCCTTTTCTCCCGCTTGCGGGAAGTGAGCGGCGTCTTGCAACCCGCCAGCCAGGAAGGCGGCCTCACCCGACGCCGGAAATTGGAGAGGATGCTTTCGGTCCGGAGGAAGGAGTCCCAGGAGGGCGACGTTGGAAGGAAAAGCAGCTTCATCTTGGTGAGGGAAGCGGAGCCCCCCGAAGGAAAAGGGGTGTGGGACCCTCCCTAGGGTGTCAAGGCAAGGGGGGCAGAAATAGTGGCAGCGGTCTGTGGGAACGGCCTCGGGAGACAGGAGGAAGAGGTGCAGACTAGGCATTGGTTAGGTAAGAGGCGGCTGAGCCCCCAGAAGGAAAAGGGAAGCATCTTAGAAGGGACCCTCCCTAGTTTCTTGGGCTGTAAAGGTGAGGGGGGGAGGGGGGAGAAAGGCACTTTCAGACTTGCAAGATTCTGCTACTGTAACCTTAAAAAAAAGCCAGCATTACAATTCACAATCGTGGTTTCTTGTCTGCACTGGCAAAGCTTGAGAGGCAGCCGAGCAAGTATATAAGGATTCCCATAAAGGAGATGAAAGTCACCTGCCCCCTTTCTCTCCCCCTCCCCCCAGGGGCGGCATGAGGACCGGGTTCAGCATTCCCGAGACCTCCAGCTGATCGAGGCGTACCGGGAGCGCATCAAAGCCCAGAGCATCACCTCCATGCTCTGCCAAGCCATCACCACCCACCACGTCATCTACGCCACGTTGGGCACAGCCGAGTTCTTTGAGTTTGCCCTGAAGAATCCCTACGGCGTCCAGCACACGGTGACCATCAGAATCGATAACCCGGAGCTCAGGTAAAGAACGGCAGGATGTCACCTGCTGGTTGAGAAGAAGAGTGATCCCTTCCTTGTGGGACTCCCTTGGAGATGCCCTCTCTCCAAAACCACCATCTCCATGTTTTCTTCATGTTGTCCTTGATCTTCTCCTAGCGTCATCCTGGACGTCAGAGAGTGGAGGCATTTTAAAGAACTGACCCAAACTGTCACACCGTTGGAAGAGGACATGTTTCATCTTCACAATGGCCTCACTCCTCAGGTCTACCTCCGTCCCAAGGAGACGGTCTACATCCCCTTCAAGTACCAGACTTTCTCCATGGAGCAGGCCGCCATGATGCAGGTAGGGAAGTCCTCACCCCTCGCTTTTCCTCACGGAGGGTCCTTGATTTATATCCGTTCGTTGGGTCACTGTTTGAAGTTACAACAGCCCCGAAGGTCTTCTGCCATGACATCTCTTTGACTTCCAGCAAGGTCCCCCCGAGCCGACATCTAAGAAAGGTGAGAAGGTCCCCATGGCCACCTCTTCTGGAAAGTTCAGCGAGACTCTACGCATCAAGGTAACACGACAGGAAGGGATGGATGGTGCACAGGTCCGCTCAATGGGATGGAAAGCTTTTGTGACCTTGTTGAGGTGGAGAGTTCCCTTCTTAGTGGGTTGGACAGTGGCCAGAATCCATGGGACGGCACGAAGATGGTGGACAGAAGCTTAGGGAAGGGGTGTTCTAAATCATCATCTTCTCCTTCTCCTTCTCCTTCTTCCTCCTCCTTCTTCCTCCTCCTCTTCCTCCTCCTCCTCCATGTCTTCTTCTCCAGGTCTCCTTCACGGTGGGCAACGGCAAGCCCCTCGCCATCCTGAGCGTCAGCGTGGAAACCCAGCCCCACCCGGTGGATCAGACCTTCCGCTTCTACCACCCGGAGCTGACCTTCCTGAAGAAATCCATCCGCCTGCCTCCGTGGCACACGCTCCCAGGTGGCTCCCAGCTTCTCCTCTGCTCAAGTTGACTGAATCCTAAACATTTAGGATATGGAGCATCCCATCCACACAACCATAAGATGGGTGGACTTTCTCCTTCACCTGCTGGCTGGGGAATTCTGGGAATTGAAGTCCACCCATCTTGAAGTTGTCCAGGTTGAGGAACGCTACTTGGGAACAGCTTAAACAGCTGGATAATAAACTAGGAATTTGTCTCAAGCAATAGAGAGTTGGTCCTAAGGACCTCAAGGTTGGACTTCAGTTCTCCTTGAACTTGGGTGATCTGTAGATCTGGACCTTCTCAAGATCACCTCAAGAAGTTCCTTCTGCAGAGAATTTAGTTGGCATGTTTTAAGAAGTGGGCCTCTAGCTGGGCTTCTAGTTGAGTGGGTCATAGTCCATCAGAGCTGTGGTCCTTGATAGCAAGAGGGGCCTTTGATTTGAAGGCCTGCAGCTCTTGAGACCCTCATGTTTTTCCTCGGCAGGGGCTCCGGTAGGCGTTCCTGGTGGAGAACCTGAGATGTTTGTCCGCTGCAGTGACCCCAACGTCATCTGCGAGACCAAGAAAATGGTACTGTTGACCAGCATAAGTTTTGTGGGTGTGGTTGGTGATTGATCAGGGCAGGAAGCAAAGGGTTCAAGGGGGAACAAGCTAGAACATGTTAACATGACCTTCACAGGTCAACGAAGCCCGTCGTAAATCAGAACGGATGTTAAGTCAGATCTCTAGTGGGTTGACCAACGTGAACTCAACCCTCAAGAATGTCTGTTGGCTGTTGTCAAAGATACCAACATTCATAGGTGGCATCCTTCCAGAGGGTTCTGTGGGAAGGAGATGGCCGTCAGAATATCCCAGAGTTCTCTGTGGGCATCTCCAGAATGTAGCTTCAGGCCGAGATCCAGTAGGTAGCCTCTGACGGAAGATGGGTAATAGTGATAGATAATATTTGTAGCTTGGGGCTTGAACTGTGGTGTCCTTAGTGTTCTCTGAGCTTGGTGGTTTTCTTGTAGACATCTCATGACCCAACTAGGGAATATCATCAGTAAGAGAAGGGAGAGGGGTTTC